GCTCACAACAACAACGGGGGGGGACTGCGTCGGGTCGATGATCGTGTTGCTTTTAATCATACGAAGCCAGATTAAATAAAATAACGACTTCTCCAACCTTATACTTTTCTCCAGAGTGCCGTGGTTCATTGTTCATTAATGTGTTTCAGCGGCATTTACCGACCGCTGCAGTGCTGGCTGCTCTGCCACGGGAGTTTATTCTCCCGTTAGCTCCGGGTTAGCTCACACGGCTCTAAAGTATTCACTGTCTGACTGTCACACAAGCAGCTGATACATATCCCCAGTTCCCCTTAAGTGAATGTGTGTCAGTCTGAATTGACGCTGTTTGGCATCACAACGCTGTTATGAAAGTTTCTCTGGTATAACATGGGTGATGTTAGCATAGCAACCGAAGCTAAACTGACTACTTGCTAAGCCGTTTTCTACAGGCACATTTTACCGGCGTATTTTTCATTATGATTCTACTTGTGATAGTCGGACATGACAACCTGTGCAGCCCATGTATTGATTCCATCCGATAGCTGCTATAATAACAAACAAAACGTCTGCCTGCTCTCCACAATGATCAATAACAGCGAACGGATGGTCAAAGTAAGGTACAAATAAACAGAATCACACGAAGCCTGGTTAGTGTTGCCTGACTTTATAAAGTGTGTTTTTTTTTTATAAGTGTGTGGTTGCCTTCTAGTCACTTTGCTCAGCGCTACTGCTTGTAGGCAGGCATGACGAGACTCTTCAGTCGACCCATGTTCAGGGGAGGTGGGTTTAGTTTCCTGCACGCCTCGACGTAACCCCTAGATTCCACCGGGTCCGTCTGCGGCGCGTTACGGGTGCGTTACGGCTGCGTATCTTGGCAATACAGCTAAGGTTAGCATGAAGTTAGCTAGCAATGATAATGACATACTATCGTTACTGTTAATGAGACAAAACAGGAAAAACTTTCAAACAAAACCCCCCAAAAAGTGCTGTTTGACGATGCTACCGATGTTTATTTGAAGACGGCTCTTTAAGGCTGCACCAAAACAAATATTCCTTCAACAAGTAGCCTATAAAAGGGAATTTAACTTGTTTCTAAAGTAGGGACTGTCGAAACAAAGATGGCAACCGGAAGTGACATTCCGGTAGGCCACAAGAAAATAAAAAACGGGATATGGCACTTAATTACTCAAAGATAAAAGTGAATGACATAAAAAGTGTTGAGAAATGAATGCCAACCAAACAGAACAAATTGCTTTTTAAATTGCAAAGAAATAAATGGAAATTATTTTCACACATTAAACTGCCCAAAAACACAAGGTCATGTCACAATGTTGATAAATACAATATATTGTGCAGCCCTATTGTAAAACAATCTACTGTTCTTTAAAGTTGGGTTTCATATTTGAGGAAAAAGGGGCATCGTTTTTTTCTTCACCTTATACTATATATTTATCGAAACCCAGCTTTTCGAAATTGACATATTTATAAACAGACAGAGGAAATAATGCAACATTGTATGCTTGTTATGCATCCTAATCAGGGTTTTAAAAGACGACACTGTCAACTGAATAGCACTTGATTACAGGATAATGACACCAGCGTTTGTACCGGTCCAATCTGCATAAAATGGAGGAACTGATAAAGGTCTCTCTAATTACCATGGTGTTTACATCAGACATTACATACACCTATTATGCTACTCTTGTCAACATCTTACAAAGCCGGGTTCACTATGATAATGCACTTGGATGTGACTCCCACCGCTGACTGTTATTGTTAAGATACCCATTTAAGATGCTTCCGAGTATTCTTGGTAATGATGTGAAATCTACAGATGTTATTATGAGGGTGATACAGTTTTTGATGGCAGTAACTTTGTTCATGATTATCATGCCCATTTAGGTTTTGTATCTTGCACCCTTCCCCATATCCCCTCTCATGCCCATGCCTAGTGGTAGTCATCGCTGTCTCCTTTAGGCAGACTGCTATGAACACATTATGGATGGATGCATTAGTGAGTGATGCAGAGCCCAGGCTGGCTTGCCTTGTTTTCGTGTGAGAGTGCATCATTAGAAAATGTTCCACTTGGCAGGGAAGCGCGTATTAACTGCAACCGCAATGAAATGAGGTTGTGATAGATGGTTAAAGTTATACAGGACTATTAGGTTGAAATATGAACCTCTCAATTGTCATGATGAAACAAAGGGCTATTTGCGTGGTGATCAGTGCATTGAGAGACAATTGGAATCTGCAAAGACCGATACAATACATTATAGGTAGTGGGCTCAGAGCTGAAAGAGTACAGAAAAAGTAATCATGCTTCCACAGAATAGTTTGGAGCTACTGTTCAATTCAAGGCTCTATAAATTCATTTAGGTTCTCCACCAACATCTCAAGGATTGTGATGAGACGTGGGGGGGATTTGCAAACAGGGCACCTTGTCTAAGCCCTGTTGTGGACTTTGATGGGCCAGAGGAAACCAGTGTTGATGGCCTCTCAGAGGCATTTTAATGGCATAGAAGACTTAAAACAGACATTGTTTATCTACCATAATGTGCCCATACCGACTGACATTACGATGAGAGTCAATATGATATCAAGAAGAGCCAAGATGTAAATCAGATTTAGCAGACAGAGGTGTAAATGCAGCAGCTTCCCTTTGCATAATGATGCTAGCCAATTAAGCCTGCCATTATCTCTTATCGATTCTCATGGTGACCTCCAAGTTATTCAACCACAAGAATACAAACTTCAGACCCAATTTCTATTTAACTCCAGTGTGTAATTTACTTATTAATTCCTCTCTTACCAGCACCGAATCGCCCACATGCCAGACACGATCTTGCTACCTCTGATAGGAATAATAATAAATAAGTAACACATTAATTATTAATATTAGAAACACCTGATGGATAATTTATTGCTCTGATTTCATGGGGCACTCTCTAAACTTAGACTGTCTTTGCATGCACTATGTCTCACATTTAATTGCAAAGCCATTAGTGTTTAATATTACTGTAATTACTGTGTACATTTCATTATGTTCTCAGTATATTAAATGACTGCTCAGTGTGGAGGGAGGGCTATAGTTTAATCTCTTTCTGTATTACTGTGTGCCACAGTACTCAAAACAGCATTAAGAGGCACATAATCAGAGGGAACTAATTGCCTATGATTGCATAAATGAAGTGCCTTACTCTCATCAGGCCTGTTGCTGATGTCCACCCTCTCGCCGCCTTGGAGGGCAGTTGACCACAATGCAGGAAACCTTGAGAGACTGCTTCTGGTGGGTAATGTAAGAAAACCAAAGATTCAGTATGTCCACAGGGGGCTGGGAGGCCAGGGGGTATTACTACTGCTGATGTTTTTTCTTTTTGTCATCAGAGTTGCCTCCGCTTCACAGAGGAAGGAAAAAAAGAAAGAAACATGAATGCCCACCATTTGAGAAATGAATTTATCGAAGTCGCTGTCTTTTTCCCCATTAGTAAGTGTTTAGTTCAGCGTTTTAAATAATTGCGTTACCAGGAATGATATTTAAAATACATTTGGGAGTCAATGAGGCGGGAAAGTGCCTACATGTTTTGCTGATGACACCCGGGCCATTTGGAAGACATCAAAGTAGAGAGGAGGTAGCCCAGATGCATATTATAAACTCATTATGTATATCATTTAAAAGGATGTACTCCAGCCGCAAAAACAATATTCCTAGTCTCTCTCTGGTAATGTGTGTTTTCAAAGTTGAAACTCTTACTCGCCTTCAGTTTAATGTGGCATCTATTACCAAACTGTAACATAAAATAAATGACCTTGATTTCCATACCAGAACAGTCGTTAAGGTATAGATGAGATGCAGCGATGCTTCCGTGTTTTCAAATGGGAAAGAAGGTAAACCTCTTCACAAATATCGTATTCTTCTTCACCTGCAGTGCAGACCTTGTTTTGCACAGAGCTTACAGGCACCTTGATGGACTCACAGAGGTGGATAAACATACATGAAAACGTGTTTGTTTTTAGACATTGTGCATCCATTATAGCACATTTTAATGGATAGAGATATATGAGCAAGTTAATCATTCTCAAACGACTTAAAGGCAATCCTTCCAAGGCCATGAAAATCTTTCCTTGGTGTCTAGAAAGCTAAAAGATGGAATGGGATTTTGCTACTGGATGGAACTTCTAGCATTGGAAAATGACGGTCCATCACTCATATGAGATGTTTGTCAGATGCCTAGTGAGTAGGCTTAAGAGGCTTAATTATGCGCCGTCCCTCCGCCATCAGAACACTACACGTGGGGCAGAGTGACACAGCGGTTGCCAGTCATTCAGCCTAATGTTCTAATGCAGGGAGCCATGTGGATACATAAAATCCATTAAGGCTCTTGAACGGAAAAAACACTGAGCAGAAAAATACATTTTGCAAACACATACTCACATGGGCTTACAGGCCATTCTTATTTGCCCTTGTCAGGACATAAGAAGTTGTCTGCTACTTTTCATTATTTTTTGAAGTTCAACATTGAACATATGCTAGGAATGGTAAGGGTGAATCCAACTACCTCACCCTTAATATTGCCAATTTCTGGAATAGGCAGTATGTTAAGTATAAAATCTATAAATATAAAGTTAGCTATATGTTTTATGTAGAAACACTCCTCCCATTTGCTGGTTATTGAAGTTATGTCAAATATGATACTCTGTGATTTAATCATTTGTTCTATCACATCCCAAACAGCAAGTATTGTGCGTTTAGTAAACTAATTTGACACTTGAAGGCCTGACAGGGACCCTTCATGGCTGTAACTTTGCCTGAGGCAAATAGAAGAGGCTCGAGTGTCTACATGTGAGACATAAAAATAGCACAACTTGTCACACTGCAGGGGAGGGTCTCATACCGAACACCAAAACAACTCTTTGAACTGACCCTGTGAACAGCCGGCAGGCACATAGTGGACATTAGACAGAGAGAAAGGAACAACAGAGACAGAGACAGAGAGACAGGCCTTTATAGCCAGCTCTCTCACTTAACTTTTCACACTTTTATTCGTGAGAATAGATTTTAAGCATGTCTCAAGGCAGCTTTGTCTTCACATCTATGGCCTTGCGCTCTCTCGAACTTGATGAGGACATGCTGGCGAGACACAAGCACAAAAAGCAGCTGGCTACCCATCACTTCAATAGCTATATGCTGCAGAAGGAAATCAGGGAGAGGACACTGCTGAGGACCACCATGCCACCAGCAATCTGCCACGACCTGGTCATCCAGAACGCTCTTTACACGGGAGACCTGCAGGCTATGCAGCAACTCTTTCCTAGAGGATCCTCAACAAACCTCATCATTGAGCCACAGGGAGGGGACATGCGCTGGGTCTCCACAGGGGAAGGTAGGAGACAACATACAGTATGTCCTCATTAGATATTAATCCAGGAATGTATATAGCAGAGCTAGATAGATTCATTGTATTCCCTGGAGATGAGCTGCCACAATTAACTGATGTGAGAGACTTTCACATGTGGGATAAGATCAAATAATAATAAGTACTATTGATCCTAATTTGGGAAATGTTTGCGTTGCAGCAGCATAAAAAGACAAGGCAATTTACACACTAGAAATAAACAATCCAAAATATTTCTGAAATAGAAATAAAATAACATTAAAAAGTTAAAAAATTAAAAAAATATATATAGAGAGAAAAGAATAGATAGAAAGTAAAGAGTTGTACCTGGTGCTTCTCACCCGTACCCAGTATTTATAGACACACTGAAACAGAACACAAGGCAATATTTTTAGAAACACATAAACAGAGAGAGAGTTGGATTTAAATGTGGCCTATCGCTGAATACAGGACATAAAATACCCTTTAATATAAGATGTTACAAAAGATCATTTGTCATAAAAAAGTTTTTCCCTTTTCACATTTTGGGTGCAGGAGGTCAATGCTCTTTGACTTCAGTGAATTAGCTTAATCAGTATAGGCAGGTGACATGCAACACACCAGTCATTGGCTCCCATGCCTTCACTGGCAGCGTTTACTGGGTCAAGTTGAATATCACATATCAACCACCCTGAAATAGCCCTATCTGCGCAAACAACCTGCATAAACGTGTTTTTCCTTCTGGAGAACCCAGCCTGTCAAAAAAGTTTAAAACAATCTATTTAGTACCAGTATGGCTTACATAGCACCTAAAGTGAGATGGCACAAACCCAAGAAGTACCGCAACGACGTGATAGCCACATCCAGGGCCTCGGGTTGTGTCCTGCAGTTTTGGAACTCTTTGCTTGTGGGTGATAAGCTGACCGTTTTCAGCATCTTGGACGACGACGAGTATGAGTACCTTATTGATGCTGTTTATGACACCAGCAACATAGACGAATGGAAGAACTTCAGATTTAACTACAGAGGACTGAGTAGGTTATGTTGTAACTTTGTTGATATATCAAACTGTCTACAGTTATGCAAACAAGTCTTACTTTTATTGAGCATACCAGGGGCTTTTAGTGAGTATTGAAAAGAGTCAAGCAGTTACTGAACATGTTATGATATAAAGTGCTTCATTGTAAAAACACCCTTGAATATCTGCAGTAATGAAGGGTTGGGCACAATGTTGGCATCACATTGCACTCTCTGTTGGCAGGACTATGGTCACTGACTTACGAGCAGGAGCTGACCACACCGCTTCACATCACAGCTGGCAGAGGCTTCTCAGAGTGCCTGAGACTGCTGCTGCAGCGGGGGGCCAATGTGGACCTGGCCCCAGGGGGCACCACCGCCCTGCACGTGTCCTGTGAGAACTGCCAGCCCGAGTGCACCAAACTGCTGCTGATCCATGGAGCCAACGCCAACGCTGTCACTGAAGACGGCCTCATGCCTTTGCACTTCTGCACAAGCCCTGAATCCTTTGAGTGAGTAAAGAAGAACAAAAGTGGAACAAAATGAAACAGAATGTGAGTAATGACATTCATGCCACAACTTAAACTTGGCATTTTCTAACATTAGCCGTAATAAGCTACTGGTTGGACCAGACTTGCTGCAAAGGCTCTGAATGTCAATGAATCAATTTCACTTTTTTAAAAGGAAGACTGTGTTATTTTAGATCAGTAAACCGATAATCTACCTAACGATTGCTTATCAGTAGCAGATATTGAAAAACACGTGTGGCCTTATTACTCCAAAAGCATTTCATCTTTTTTCTATTCAGGATTACTGTCTTGTATGTTTAAATGATCGCATCACTTTTATATAAAATAAATTGTTTCATATTATCCGGTTTGAAATCTTTTGGAACATCACATTTGGAACACATGTTTAAATAGTTCATCTAATAATAAGACTGTGAGTCAGACAAAAAGGATGGAGACCTCTGATCCAGTGTTTACATGGGAACACAAGTCGTATTACAATACAAAACAAGCTTCTGTTCTTCTGTCTGTAGATGTGCCAAGTACCTCCTTCAGTACGGAGCAGCTATTAATGGTCGCACCGTGGATGAAGACGACACTCCCTTGCACGTGGCAGCCAGTAACAGCCTCTCAGACCACACTGAGCTCTACCTGCGCTATGGAGCTGCTGTGGACAAACAGAACAGTGAGGGTCTCACGCCTCTGAACGCTGCTTGTTCACAACCCCAGGAGCTGCAGGAGCTTGAAAGTTACCTCAAGGTTTGCCAGATGCTGCTGGGGGCCGGGGCCAACGTCCAGACCAAGGACCAGGACAAACACAGTCCTCTGCACATGGCCTGTAAGAATGTAAACCCAGACATAGTGGATCTGCTGCTGGCTCATGGTGCCTGCGTTAATGACATGGACTACGGGGGGGAAGCTCCCATGCACAACATCCTGAAGGTGGTGTGCTACAAGGTGTCCTATCACCCCGAGAGGATCGTCCGGGCTCTGCTCAACCACGGCTCTATCCGGGTGTGGCCTGGAGCTCTGCCAATGGTAGGAAATTAAAGATGTGATGTTAAAATACTAGAACATAGAATGTTTGCACATTAATTCAGAAATCCAGATCGGTTCGTAGGAGTGTGTATTTACAGCATGAACCAATTTTTCATCAAGGTGTCTCATTTTGCATAATTAGCACTATAACTGCACATGTAACACCTTGAGAAAGAAGCACTAAAACTGTTCCTTGAAATATTCCAGACTTCACAACTTCACATTCAAATCATTCCCATTTCATGACACAACATGAAGTGTTGCACTCTCTGCGGGAAACAGACTACAACCATCAGTGAACCCACGTGCACTAGACAAAATGCCTGGTTCCTAATTAGGCAAGTGTTAATAGGAGATTAATTAGCACTAATTGCATAATTTCCAGTTAAACCCCTGGAGGGAAGACCAATCTGTTCATTTCACAAGTGTTTAATTACTTTATTTCTTCAGTTCTATGGAGTCACAAGCTCGCTCATGAACTTAAATGATGATTATCTGAATCTATCCTCTGTGTTGTGGTGTTTCTTTGAAGGTTTTGAAGCACTGCTGTGGATCTCCACGCACCATCGAGGTTCTTCTGAATGCCTACAGTAGCCTCAAAGTCAACGACACCTGGGTCGAGGCTGTGTCACCGGAGGTGTTAAAGGCAAGCTTACGAAATAATAAACTCAAGAGTTGAATATAACCAGAGTGGGTGTTTTAGAACAAATGTTTTTAATGTTTTCTAAATTTCAGATCTTCAAATATTTTCCTTTTTCTTTACTTTAATTTATTAATGGTATTTACTGGAACTACTAGGCAGCACCATTTAAATCAATGCATACAAATAAATAAATGTCCTCTAATAGTTTGACAGCTCATTTATATATTTTCAGTGTTCAACTCTGAAGTATGGAAGGCCTTTAGGTACAACATTCATTTACAAAAGGGTTATACATGTATCAAAACATGCTGAAAAAAATGTTGCCAAGTTTTGCAGGGTTATTATAGCTGTAGAGAGTATGAGCAATATTTAATATTCAAAAAGGCTCTAATCCGCAGGAGAACATTGCAAATGGTAGATTACTTGTTTAATCATTGGTATTAATATGAAGCGCTGCCATGCCATGATTTGCTCTAAATTGTGACAAATAATATGATGTGATCTCAGGGTAATTTGTGTTGTTTTTTTTATCACACAGGAGCACAAAGAGTTTTATGAGTCTGTCTTCTCTTTGGAGCGGAGCCCTCGCTCCCTGCAGCACTTGGCCCGCTGCAGGATCAGGAGCTTCCTGGAGCTCCGGGTGCACAAAGTGGTCCCTGAACTGGACCTGCCCACCTTCATCAAGAACTACCTGCTGCTGGAGTACAGAGACTATGTCCACTGAGAACACTGTGTGTGTGTGTAGCCAGGGGCGGTTCTGGGGGGGGGGGGGGGCAGTGCCCCCCTAACACTGACTTTGGACCCCCCTGTGGCCCCCCTGAAAATGAAAAGAATAAAAGAAAAAGTATATGATTAAACGATTTCTTGGCTGACGGATTAGGTGGAACTAACGCTATTTGTCATTCTAGTCGGACCCATGATTAGAGCGTAAAAACTGTAACTATAAGTATCTGAAATAAATATGTGTACTGAAACAAATGCCAATAACTGTATTGCATTGTTTTCTTATGCGCAATTACTTCATACTGTCTTTGTCTTTTTCGTCCTGCATTTATTGTGCCCCTCAGAAAATAACTGGCCCCAGCCTGGCCCCCCCCAGTCAAATTGGTCTAGAACCGCCACTGTAGTGTAGCCTGTGTTAGACAGAGTCCTGGTGAGGATTGAGTGCTGCTGAATGTGAGGAAGAAGCAGCTGTTAAAGAGTTAAAAGTGTAGCACTGGCAGTACACTCAAATAAAAAATACATTTTATGATACAAATTTCTTGTAGAAGCAGTTGCTTTTCCTGTGACTTTTATTTCAGTTACACGTTTGACCACAAGAGGGAGCTATAGACTAGAGTTGTTATAATACAATGCAGGTATGCAATAATGTGTTTTTTATTTTTTTTTATTTTATAATTTTACGTTTTTTGTACTCGTGCACATAGTTAATAGGCTCAGATGGTTGTATTTGTATACCTGATGATTATCATGGTTTGATGTTAATGCACATAATGATGATGATGTTGTGTTGAGTATTGCCTTAAAAATATTTGCATATACATAAGTATTCCCACCGTTGTTGTTGTCATTAGGTATTTTATATCACAAATAGACTGTGTAAAAATTAAATACTCCACCATGACCGTGTCATTGATTTTTGTATTATTTCATTTTGTCGAACATTTCTCTTTCTTCTCCTTAGTTTGCTGCTGAGTTTTGTTTTTCCATACCCTTTTTAATATCGATGCTAAAAAAAAAATTATTGAGCTTTTGTTTTCAAGCCACACTTTGAAAATATAGGTTAACGTTTAAATGTAAAAAAGTTGAAACTACGCTAAATCGTTTTTTATATCAATTTCAATGTGTGCTTTTATCAAGAAGTTCCGATTAACTTATTCTTGTTTAACCTGGTCAAATGATTTAGAAGAGAAATATAATAGCATTAGTTAAATTGAAAGGATCATTATGGCCACAAATATCTGCAGAATTAATAAAATAAATATACCTTGTATGGAGAAGAAAAGCAGCGACACATGTATTAGTGTCATTTAAAATATATAGTGTTTTGACAAAAAAAAGAATATGCCTTATTCTCGTATATTGTATAAAACGTTTAGATTTAAAAAGCCAAATATCTATACAAAAAAACAATTATAATCTTATACATTTGGAATTGTCATTAAATAAAAAGTGTAATGTGTCGCTGTGTACCACCAGAGTTTCTCTCAAAAAGAAAGGCAGAGGATGTCAGGAAATGGTTTCAATAGATCAAAGAGGGGTGCTGCTGAAGTCACTTGCAATTATAAGAATTAGCCTGGCCTGCTAATCAGAGCCGGTGATATGTTTATGTCCTCGTGCAATCAGACGACCAGTTGGAGAGCCCGGCTCCCTGGACTCAATAGGGCTAATCATCATCAGTTCCTACTGCCATTTAAAGGTGAAATGATCTGCGATTAAACCACTGCTTAAAGAAAAAAGTGTTTTTTTTTCTCCATGCATTTTTGATCAGGGATGAATTACAACTAGAATGTGTGTTTTATTTAAATTATTAAAACACTTTGAGGAGGATTTAGTTGACATTTAATCGGTAAAGACGTTAAATGTTTACAATTCACAGCTTTTTTTTAATAAATGCCCCTTGAGTTCAGACAAATTACTCAGATTTGACTTTGGCCACTATATGTGTCCACACTGCAGTTGACCTCGCATAAACGCCTTTTATCTGGATCTAATTTCGCGCAGAGTATCTCTCTCAAGGGAACAATTGTTGCAGCACTTCTCTTTTTCTGAAGCCAAACGCATTGTTTTTATCCGCGGAGAATAGGGCAGAGAGCGGAGAAACATCTGCCTCTCCTCCCTCCTGACTCTGATGCCCATCGGCCCCCAATATCCCAACAAAAGCCACCGTTGTTTTACGCTGTCCCTTAAATCCAGAGTAATTACTTATCATCAATCAAAATTAATAATAGCTGATTGGGTTGGTGTGGTCAACGATTATAGAAGGGGAAGGGCCGGAACAGTCTCTCACACCGTTTTGCAGTCAATGGTGAACCTGGCAAAAGGGGAGGGAGGGTTTTTTTTGGGGGGGGGGGGCGACCCGTCTATTTGGTCTCCACTGGGAAACTACCGCCTCTCAAGACGGCCAAAAAGTCAGAGGCTGAATAAGGAAATGAAGCGTAATTTGAGGAAGATGGATGAGCCCCCAGGGAAACTCCCCCTTTTCATTCCCCTTGTATTGCAGATGATAACCAATGCGCTCCGCAGAGGGGCGGAGGGAGGAGTTGCAGAGAGGTAGATAGAGAGAGGGAGCGTGTGTTTATGTCTCAGTGTGACAAATAAGAGGGAAAAGGGTAGCGGTGGGGCTCACAACAAAGCGGCCGACCCACTGATAGAGACCCGGAGCAGCAGCCACTCTCCCAGGGATGACAACACGGCACCGGATCTACTTTCACTCCTCTCCGTCTGTGCACTGAGCGTTTTACGCCGTGGGAAAAGGACACCTAGCTTTCAAGTTTTCCACCAAATAAAGAAAAGTGTTTTCCTGCAACATGCAGAGACCAGGCCAAGCGACGGCGTTTTCAATCGATTCCCTCATAGGGACTCACCATCCCAGACCGGGACACCTGCTCTACACGGGCTACCCCATGTTCATGCCGTACAGACCTCTGATGATCCCACAAGCGTTATCCCACTCGCCTTTAACTGGGTTACCTCCACTGGCGCCTTTGGCTTCTTTTGCGGGACGGCTCACCAACACCTTCTGTGCCAGTTTGGGACCGGGGGTGCCCTCCATGGTGGCGCTCACCACGACCATGCCAAGTTTCTCGGATCCTCCGGACAGTTTCTACCCGCCACAGGAGCTCCCAGGTCCCCGTTTAAGCGCAGCCGACCCCGGGTCCAGGAGGCAGGAGAGTCCGCACTCTGACGAGCTGCACAGCCGGGACAAGGGCTCCGACATGATCAACTTCTCAGAAACTTTTCAAACAATATCAGGTAAGCTTGGCCTCTTGACTTATTTATGGAATAACTTACTATGCGTAAAAACTATTTGAAACAGAGATTGTTGGCCTATAGTGAGTGTGTTTAGTCTCAGAGGTGCTGTCAAATGGATAAAACAATCTCAATCAGTTTTGTTACCGTTTTAGAATATATTAATGAAACCACATTTAATAAAGCCAAAATGCATGGGGTGCAACCTGATGATAGCTAATGTCATTCTAGATACAGCTATTATTTTTGGAATTATTTCTTAATTGTTCTTTATAATATTACAGTACGAATTACTGAGTGAATCACTAATCAAATTTGAGCAAAAAGTTCAATACAATTGTTTGTTGTTAGGGAGATTAAAACTCAATCTTTGCTAGTTGCAGTACAAACGTACAGAACAACTGAGTTTTCACACACAGGGCAGATGTAATGATCTTATATTAGTTCAGTTAGTGTTGCATTAATGTTTATTGTACAAAACTATAATTATTAGGAGTGTTTTCAACAATTTGGCTGTACATTTTTATCTTTAACAGCTTACCACAAGTCAATGAGCACTCTTCACTGTTGGCTTACAAACTTAAGAACAAGTAACTAATGATTATTATCCTTTCTCTACATTTTAGGTGAGACCAAACTGTACAGCTCAGACGACGAGAAGCTGGACCTAAAGTCAGCAGACACCGCGTGCAGTGACCGCGAGGACAGCTCCGCAGACAGCGAGAACGAGAGTTTCTCCGACGGGAACAACTGTGGCTCCCTGTCCCAGAAGAGCAAACTAAAGCCCGGCTCTCAGGAGGTGCTACCGCCCGGCAGCTCGGCGGGGAAGAGCCGCAGGAGACGGACAGCTTTTACCAGCGAGCAGCTGCTGGAACTGGAAAAGGAGTTTCACTGTAAAAAGTACCTTTCTCTGACTGAGCGCTCACAGATCGCACATGCACTTAAACTGAGCGAGGTGCAGGTGAAGATCTGGTTTCAGAACCGCAGGGCGAAGTGGAAACGGATCAAAGCCGGCAACGTTAACAACCGGTCAGGAGAACCGGTGAGGAACCCCAAAATCGTGGTGCCCATCCCGGTGCACGTCAACAGGTTTGCAGTGAGGAGTCAGCACCAACAAATAGAGCAAGGGACCAGGCCATGAACTGAAAATCTAAAATATTAATGATGAAAAACACTTACATTGACTCTATGTTCCACTGATTCGCATGAAGCACAACAAGAAGGAGTAGGCCTATTTTGTCTGAGAGGTGAGACTGAGCAGACCGATCAACTATTTGGCAATATGCTGTCATTTTTATTTATTGCGCTGTGAATATGTAAATATAAATGGGTAAAAATTGGTACAAATGGGCACTATGAGATGAGACTGTAAAGATTTTTTAAGTATTTATATGTAGGGCCAAAATGTTCTGTTGGTTATGTGCATGTGTCCTCATTTGGTGAAGCTGACTTTTTGTTTTGTGTTTCGTACAATTTGTTGACCACATTTGCATGTAAGACGTTTTACATTTTCTGTTTGCCAACTGTAGGAACCAGCTTTGACAGCTATTTGTGATGTGAAGGAAATAATGACCAAACAAGGGACAACTGTAAAGTATATTGACCTAATAAATCGCTTTATACGAAAGTTGGAATTCAGATTGAATTATTAATGTTTGGAGGTTAGAGTAAATATGTTGTATGGGTTGTTATTATTTATTCTGCTAAAATGAAAAATATATATATGTTGTCTTAACATGGCGATTCGTTGTTTTGTACATAATGC